CCCTAGGGAAGCGAAAACAGGATGATATATTTCTAGTTGGATATTGATGGAAAGTACAAACTGGACAGTATCTGGCTCCCCAGAACTGGTATGAGCCAAATCAAATAGGAAGATAAGCTTAATCTTAATTCTTATAATCATAATGGTTCTACCTTCAGCAGTTTACATCGTTGTTGTAAAGTCAAGAATCCAAACCCTAGTAACCATTTGGTAAAGGAAAGTTGTAGTTTGTTAAGAGTGATTTTGTCGCACATTTTTAAATTTGTGAAAATTAATCGGCAGTGTTCTAAGACTGGCCGCGCAGTTGCTTGATCAGCAGATTTAGCCAAGTTCAGGCACATCGCTTCGGACTGCATGTCGCGGTGTTCCCATTTTCACAGGCATCCCTTGCAATGAACGCTAATTAGGTGAATATGCCCCAGAAGACTACCACCAGTTTTAGAATGAAGAACGATTCTGTACCTACCGCGTCCCCTAGCTTCAGATTGCTAATGAACGGGATGCCTAAGTTCAAACATGGGAGGATTGGTGATGCATTGTTTACGTGATCTCTTAGGACAACGTGATCGTCCAACCTATCTCAGGTATACCCTTAGTATCAAAAGTGAGGACATGCTGTCGAAAGCGTATACATTCTTTGCATCAATTCATGTAAACGGCCGAAATATAAGATGCGAGAGGACACATTTAGCGCAAGATGCTGCCTTATCGGGGATACCTTAAAGTGTAAAACCCGTGATGGTATCTTAACGTGGTTTTGCAACGGACCGAGTGAATCTTGCCTTCGAAGCGCATTGCTTTGATGCGTATTGGACTTAAAAGGGAGAAAATCTTAACTAACCAGTCAATGGGACTTGAATTTTATCCCATGCTTTTTCGATCCACTAGCTAGAAGTCACTCAACGCTAAATTCGGCAGGATCGCGGAAAACCTCTAGCTACCACCTGCACTTTATGCAAGAATTCTTGCTTCTAAAAGAGTTTCCTGTTCGTATTCCAAGGGACAAGTTCTCTTAGCCAAGTAGTTGGTCTTTAATCCTGTCAACATGCAACGACTAGGGATCTCATCATGATAACTGAGACCCTGGAAAATTTGAGGCCACTAATGCTTTGTTTTATGGAAATTATCCATAAGGGGTAATCAACCTAGAAAAGGAGGTAAAATAACTCTGTGCGGTTGCAATAAAAAGACATTGGGAAAACAGTGACGACTAACAGATTTAAAATGTTTATTTGGTTTGCTACTAGCGGCAACTGAGAGTTGTTGTTGGGTGCTTCTTTACCTTGGTATACTGCCATCCTCTCACCTACTAATACATATAAATTTCTAACCTGGCCTTATATGAAAGTTCTTCTTTTGGGAGAATTAAACATGCTCGCTCGAAATCTACCAAGGATTATCGATAGGCTATATGAGGTTGAAAGAAGAATATAGTCGTTGGCCAACCAATTCACAATCATGTTGCTTCACTTAGACGCTATATAAAAGGAGAAGACAATCCATTCCGTACTTCAACGTATACAATACATAGTTTGTTCCCGACACAATATAAGTGATTAAATCTTTTGGCGCAACTATCATGTAAACTTGCTATTACTCCATCTCTAAAATGCGAAACAATTCAACATGAACACCTTAGAAATTCAGGTTATTAGTCGTCGCCACACCCTAGCTGATCTACTCTTAGTGAAATGCCGATAAATGGGAAGGTTTACAAAGCTAAACAGCGTTACTGTATCGCACTAAGTATCAAGGATATTTGATAATATCACGTGAGGAAATTATGATACATCTTACCAAACTCTAATAACTGTAGCCTAACATCTCCACTTTAGGTGTTGGATCTGGACAATCATGGAGTGTACAAAAATCAGCCAAAGCTGATCCACAAAACTGGCTCTTACCTTCAAAAGTTCGCCGTGATCGCATAAAACCACAAGCATTTGGATACATCTCCCTCTCCACTGTGTATGTGATAAACACACTGATGTTCTTTGTAAACATGGTTTTCCAGGTGAGCCAGTATATTCACAGTAGTTGAACGCGCCTAATAAGAGCGTGACTCGACCTTGCTCTCGGTCAGTCGAACATTATCCCTATTGTATTTAAGTTCCCACGTTGTACAGTCATGGGATTTTTACTCAGCTTTACAAGGAAAGGAACCATGCTGAACACACAAACTACCCCCCGACGGCCCTAATTCCAATGATTTCTGATTACTTTTCAGGCGGCAATATGGAACCACTCGTGGTGATTCTGAAAAGTTGCTAGATATTTTTGCCGGTGTAGTACGGCTTCCGTAGAGCCAACCATGCATCAAAAGCATTATGGTACCTTTCGCCAGTTGGGTGCATTTTGTGTATACTTTGAAGGATTTGGCCCGGTTACCTTTCGTTTTGCCAGGGTTTTAACTGGCCGAATCACAGCATTTGACTTCACAAACTTTGGCATAATGTAACTTATGATTCGGTACTTGCTTTCGAATGCAGGTTGGTTACCCTATATCTCCTGATTTTGCTATTTCGTATCGCCTTGTCTGAACCATGATACGTGTATTGTAGATAACCCCAAGGTTTGGTTCTGTGCCATGACCATTTCTAAAGTCCCCAAATGTAATCCTAATCTTCAACGTTTCAAAACTAATCTGATGACTAAGCAGAGGTGCAAGACGCAGGACTATTGCAAAAATGTACAAGGTAACTTCGACGCGGCTCATAAAGGGTCAATTTAGATCCTTCTCTAGTTAACCACGGACAAGTGCAAATTATGGATTATACACAACCGGAACACATACAAGTAATCGCTTAAAGCGCAGTCACCATGGAATTTATTTCCATTACTGTTAAGGTGGAATTTAGTGGAACATGTAGCTCCACCCAGCAGCAATAAAAGGTAGTTACGAACCAGGCTTTTCCAAACTTCTTTTGCTTATCGATTGCAAAGTGACCCTGTAGAAGACTCAGCTTAAATCTAGCAGTCCTGGTAAAACATGACCTCGCTATACTCAAGAATTTACAGCGAAAAGCTGGAAATTTGTTAACAGACTGCATCAGCCTAATTAACAACAAACTGACATACCTGGGAGTTAATGGTGGACACTGTCGTCACATGTGAAATAGTTGCTTCTCTGATAAGCAATACGTAAAACCTATGACAAAATATAACTGATCCCAATGACATTGGAATTTGTTTTTACTTGTATGTGACACTAGTGGCAGGCTATACCAATTTCCCTTATATATTTCCAACCTTCTCCGGATTATGAAGGCGACTTGATGATAATGGTGCCGAAAAATGTATGAGTCCACCTAATTAGGCTGCATACGGCACAACAACTAAAGTGTGCGCACATATGAATCTTATGGTGAGCACACCAACACGCGTCATTAGGCAGCCACATGATATCGCATTTGCACTTTTCACTACTGTGTTAACTATTCGCTTTCGTATACTGCACCTTGGAACCACAGCATCCGCATGACTAAAGAGAACTCGTTTATAACCAAGCTAAATGATGTTTACAATAATCAATAAACGCATTTTTGTGTCGGACAGAGCAAACAATGATGCCGTTAGTTTACATGTGCAGATTTTTTATCACAGAGTAGTAGCAGGTGAAGTTGAATGGTATAGGTAAAAATTCGTCACACCTAGACTCACTCCGACAGCCGTCACACGCCAGAAAAAGCACTATACGCGCGTTTGGTCCTTTCGGGAATCATCAGCAGTGCGCAGTCCATCGGACCCTGGTAGGGCTCGAACTCGCAACTTGTCTGTTGCCAGTCCAAGGTTGAGAGCACTGAGATACGGGGGACAGCAACGCCCATCGTTATTTGATTGATCGTTGACTGCCGCAAAGTGACAGATGATTGCTATGCTAATTCCAAATGGTTGCGAAATTTCATATTCGCTTTCTACATAATACGCAAAACCGTCCTATTCCCAGAATGCGCCACAAAGTAAATTCTTAGGCAGCTACCATGAGTCATATTCCGCTTTACAGTTGCTTAGCACTGAGTCAATTACCGTCTCGCATGCTTGTATCCAATTTCATTCTGGATGTCTGCACATGTCTGTTTCTTGTGACCTACGGTGACTAAATTGGAACAAGCACGTTAGATAGAAACGAGGGTGCTTATTGATGCTGAATTAATGAATTCACAAATATGGTACGAATTTAAGGTCTCCCCATTTCTCTTAGTCAACGGAGCTCAAGTTACTAATCGTTTTGATGCTAATTCAGTGATTACATGTCACCTGGATCCCTATTCGGATCCTAGTAATAAAAATTCCGCTGTTATCGGAACACCTAACTATGCACACATCCTTGACTCAGAATAATAAGTAAATTAACAAATTCAAGCTTACCGCGGGCTCACTTTCTACACTTCGTCACTGAGCTTAAGCAATACAAAGGTTGAATATAATACTATAATAAATAGTTTCAATCAGTAAGCAAAGCAGGCAAAGTGTAGCCTACATTTAAACCTAACTATTGCTTTGTACATTTTCGATCGCCCGGAGAAACTATCGTTAGCACAACACCATGCCGAAAGAAAACTAAGTGTACGCTCCTAAGACCTTACGAGCACAGTACACGCGAGGATAGATGTCATAATCAAATGTTGCGATTAGAACAAAAACCTTCGTTTATAAAGTGCACCGAACAAAAGATATCTTGGGTGAGTGTATAATAATTCCCTAGCTGAGTATCGACACTCAAGTATGATATGATTATGAGGAATGAGTTCGGATCACATTTCTTGTAAATAACGTTTCTGAGCTAGTTAGTCCAAAAGGGTTCTTGCCTTTCTTGCACATTCCATTTGGACCCATTTATCCACGTAAACATATTTTGTATTCACAAGCGACGTGACACTCAAGCTTGTAGTTTTGGCAGGTTATGTCATGTCTGGGATTACTGCTCGTTTATAATTTTGGCCATCAGCATTGAGATTGGGACAAGTTAAGTAAGAAACACATGTTGCAAATAATCTAGTAGCACTTTGCATAGCCAAACAACTTTTCAACGAACCCCCGTGACATCGTGTACTACATGAGAAAGGTGTGGTTTTGGAAATAAAGAATAAATAAATGCATTAATGTGTGTAAAAACTGAAGTTTAAATGTATTTGCTTCATGAAGTCCTTGAAACGTATCGCTTTCACCGACATAAACTAAGCAGTCGGCGGGATTCTTCGTCTTCAATTGAGCGTTCCATTAACGGGGACATTGTGTGTGTGGTTTCCGTTGCTCTGCGTGATGGTGACCAAAGTTGTTTCTCAATAAAACCGTGAGTGTTTTTGTAAACTCTTTGTTCAGGTGACTTAACGAAATGAACTTGATCCACACTGGTTTGATGCCTTGGTGTATAAACGTGGCACATTGGCGCTAATAAACTGGAGCTGCTGTGGCAGAACTCGGTTGGCTTTAAAGAGTCTCCAAACAGTTCCACGATGTCAGCTGCATGAAAGGAAAAGTGATTGGTTTATTACAATCAGACACTTTGCTATCTATATCAAGTGATTTACAGAGCCGAAAGCACAGCATTGGCATCGCTCCTTTCCACTAGCTGTACCCCGATGGAATCTTAGAAACGACTTTTACAACTGTAATTAGTGTTGAAGCTTACCATTTTTTAACGCACATGGATTACGATGATCTTTATGGAGAATCTGGTATTTGAAGTAGTTTGTTGGACGGTGATAATTGTGGATCGGCTTAAAAATCTTTGAATGCTTCATAGCTTAAACCTCTAAAACGCCAAGTGTCAATCGCCGCACTCCATGCGATTAATAAAGTATATGTGTTGAACATGAAATAAATGAGGAGGTGTAATATTAGCTTAAAGTTCACTTACTCTCGCTGTCAATATGACGAATACTGTGCTGTGATCCATCCATTCCCTTAGGCAGCTGTCGAATCAACTTGATGTTGTATGTGGATTTAGCCAACGAATCTACATAGTTGAAAAAAGTGCAAATTCTGGCAAAATAATTACCGATTTTTGCAAGGGAAGTAATAAAAAGCGGAACGTATAAGACGCTTTGGAAGCTTTGTAAACATTTTTTGCTAACAGAGCGTTCCTCTGGATAGCTCACAAAAATCTCTGACTAAGATATTCCTGCGCAATAGCTTAAATCAGACAAATTATGTAACGTGCTGGTTTTTCTTATCTTTATCCTTGATTTTTTTAGAAAAACATGAGCATTGTTGCCAAGAATGCGTTCCTGTAATTGAGTTGAATTACAGTATACAAAGGGGACAGCATTTAATCTAACTTAACTAATCATGGAGCCTCAGCTTGGCAAAAATTTTTTATGTGCTAGCCTCAGATTAGCTGAAATTTGGGATGAACAGCTTTCTGGTTGTAGCAAAAAGGATACTGGATTAGGAATGAATGAATTAGAAAGTTAATTCTTTTATCAATATTTGGTAAACCAGAAGAATAAAAATGGCTTCCGATTTAGAACATTTGGTGTACAAGAGCTCGAATTGAATTGTACCTCGGTACAGTGAACTATCAATAAAACGCGACCCCCTAGATCAAGTTAACTACTATTTGGCTATATCTCAGAATTTGACTGCGTAAATATACGGGTCACTTTAAAAATGAGGCAAGGCCTGTAGTCACTTTTTATTTGTTTGAAATAGTTTATTATTTTCAGCATTTTACGCAATTTGTATTAGTGGACTCTTCAGTTTGTCCAACTTTCTGTTACCACTTCACCCCAGGTTGTACGATTTGTTTCTCCCACAGAGAATGTTGCTGCCAGTTGAGTATCGAGCCGTCGAATGTATTGTCATTGCAGATAATATCTGTTATTCATTCACACGTTACTTCAAATAATTGTCCATTCTGTAATTGGTACAATATGCTTGAATCAAGAGAATGCAAACAAAAGAATCCGCGTTTTAATTTGCTCAAATGTGATAACACCTAATGCAATCCACATGACCAAATTAAAGTATTCTTTAAGTGTTACCTAAGGCGAGCAATAGTATTGATGCGCTTGGGCTCAGCACCAATTTGATAAGATGTAGGGAAAAAGCCTAGTAACGCACAATGCAAGCATGTGTATCAATTTAATGTTGAAATGTGCTTGCTGTTGCTGCTCCACTTTTTGTTGCTGTTTATACTGTGATGCTTAACTAGAGTCCTAAATATTTAAAAGGAAATAAACGAAAGCCCCTGCCTATCTTCGGTTCCACTATGAATATAAAACACTTATGTTATTATCGCATTCCTACATTTTATTACGCCACACTTGTCGAAAGTTAAAATAAGAAGCTCTATTTTATCTACTGTTTTAATACTTTTTGTTCATCACTGTGTGAACAAGCATTACACAGTAAGGCGTATGTTGTCTGCATAACCTGCATATGTCTATACTAGCGACATTCTCTACTGCTCACGGAGCTGCTTTGTTCGTTATCCCGTACAACTCGTCAAGTTATGCTATCGTTATAAGATATTGTTGCCAAAGCTTACCGTTGATTATCTTTTGAGTACCAAAATTGCTAACCGAGCTGTTGTTATAAGTTATACTAAGATTTTAGTGTCGCTTTTATGATGATATATCGGTTTAATGAATATACTTAACCTTTGTTTTGCGATTTCATTCGAGAATTTTTTATGAAATCTACTAAGGATGTCATCTGCAAAAGCAATGGACGAACGAGTAACATTCAAAAATAACGCAGGAAGGGACGTAACTTAAATAACGGAAGCAAATATATGTTAAACAGCATTGTACTCTGTAGAATTCTAAGCAACTAGCAGTTAGTTCATAACGTTGACACCCTAACCTTACGTCCCATCTATCAGATTTAAACACACGTTACTATCCGTACAAAAGAGTATAAAAGAGCTGTAACCATCCAGATCACTTACATACAACATACTAAATTTCCCAACATGGTGAAAGGTTAATTGTATATCTTATCAGATGGTAGTGAAAATTTGTGAAGTCTATTGTTGATTGTACGTGACAGAAGTAAGAGACTATAAGTGTATTTGTGGCAGTTCGACTTTTATTGCTAAAACTACTAACCACAACCAATGTGCGAGCATATTAAGGTCTTGTATACGAAAATTATTAGAGTGAATCTTCCAAGATTACATGACCATAATTAAACGCGCCATAATTCCTTGACAATTAATTGTCTTACATTATGCTACCTTTATTGGTCATTTTAGAGAAGAAATGTCTTAATTATATGGTGAAGTTAACTGCAGTTACTACACGAGTATTTTCTGATGACTTAAAACAAAGGAAACAGCATATCTTTGCCCAACTAGTTAGTCTAGGCTAAACTGATGTGATGTGACATAGAGTTACTTGTTCTCTAGGTGTCAGACATAGCTGTGGTGTAAATAATCTAAAATGAAATGACGATTGGACAACATTCGTTCCCAAAGCGCAACCGTACTCTTTATACAATGTTTAATTAAATGTACAACTAATTATGTGGTTATATTTTCTGAAAGGCGAGATGCGTTTACTTTTTAACACAATCATTCGGGTGCCTAAAACGGCACCAGTGACACGCGAATTATGGCATTATGATTCCGAGACCTAAACGAACGATAGGATGTTCCTGGAAATTACTACTTCGCTTACAACTTAGCATTACATATAGACCTCAATAAGGTCTAGTATTGTAACGATAATTTGAAAGCATTTATATTACTCATTTCCTAGGCTAAAACGAGCTGTCCCAATCTGTCTATTGAATAGCTAATGTTATTTGCCCTTAGTTAAATCGGTTAGGGCGCATTGTTTTACATTGCATCAGTTCTCTTATCACTGGAAGTATTTGCCAACAGATCGGTGTACAGCTAAAATAGCATAAAAGGTACTCAAGTACAACACCTTGGCTAGAAAGAAGCACCCCCTGCTGAAATCGCATTTTCAATCATTGTTACTTGCAATGCATGAAGCTAGGCCGCCAAACAGGTTAACACCGGTTGGAGGGGATTAGTTTGAAAAAGCGCAGTATCTGGTGCTGATAAAGACAAGATGCATGGAAATAAATGCCAGGGAACAATGGGTGTTCTTTCAAGATTAGGATTTCTAGTTAATCATAAAACAGTGGACTTGATTTATGCTTATATGCTAGGTTTGAGAAAGGGAAGGAAAAGGATGGACATATATGATGCAAAAATGAATTTCCTTGTTAACTGTGCCTGCCACCCTGAACGTACTGCTTAGCAACTAGCGGCATTTGTCCATGACTAGGGGGAGCATATTATCGGAAGTTTTTCAAGTGAGTCCGTTCAAGGTGCACGCGTAAATTCCTATCGTGCTTGGGAAGCAATTTTCTCAAGTATTTGGGTTTAAGCTGAAAGTGAATCAGCATGGCGTATGGGCCTATGTACAGACCTTCACGTCAAATTGACTGAGGAAAAGGTAAAACCTACATAAGCTGCAGTGCAGACCACCAGATTGGTAATGATCTACACAAAATGTACCACCGTATCCATCAGAATAAAGAAATAACAGCAAAGCAGGGAAGCAATTGCTTTGGAGCAGTGATTCACAACATGGTGCTAATTGCCTCGAATGCGGTAAATATGAGTTCCACTATGGAGTCATCTCTCAGTCACGAAAAAAGTTTACCAAATTGATATACATCAAAGCATCTGACTGCCTATTACATTATGGTTAAACATAAATAGAACATTAGTTATGTTCTAGTGAATTAGGCTACTTTAAGACGGAACAGGCTTAGACTTCACTGCCTATAATGCATAGATAAAACAGCCCTTATAAAAAATTGTTGGTAAACAATTGAGGGCTGAGATGTTATTTTGCCACGCCGGTACAAAGCCAGTTGGAGCAAAGAAATGCGGGAGAAACCCAGCGAAGGAATATCCAGCATGGAAGGAGGTCCACTGGGAACGGTTCCAAGAATGGCCGTAATTATTTACTTGAACACTTTGCCAAACCTCTACCCGTTAGTGTTCACAGTTTCGTAATATATCGGATAGTTACAAACTGTCAATCACTTTAAAAGCCATCTGAGATCCGTTGTACAAAACATGCACAATTAAATATTTTATGCCATCTCGTTGTACAGATTGATTAGGCCACCCAGTTGGACTGTGCATCGCATCGTCAAAGAATAATCGTTTTTATTTATCTATTTATTTAATTACAATACGAATACAATCCTGCAACGCATTGACACTAGCTGGCACGTCTATCGACTCACTCGTCGACTGCTTCTCTTTTGGGTCATAATTCTTGCGTCACCATATGACTAATTCCTGCATATGCGTTAATGTCGCCGATTTCCCTTACCTCTGAACATATTATGTTTTGTGCAGACGTGAAGAAAAATCTGGTGAGTGCATTTACTGCGTTCTTTGTAATATCCGGAACAACGTGTTTATTTCCAAATGTATAGGAAAAATTCATCCAATTTCAGTCACTCACCACAAGTAATGTGAAAAGGACAAGGTAGCAAAAGTATGCAACATTCCACAAAAGTTGATTAGTTTGCATGCATTTATGAATACATTTTATTAAAATAAGAAACTATTTGCGGTTGCTAATAAATCCAGTGATTAATTTTATAGTCGCTTTTAAAACATTTTTGAAGTATTCGATTATTTCTTACCAGTTTTAGGACCAGTGGCCAACAAATACTCGGGAAGCACTGCTTTGGATATCTTTTGCTAAATAATTTCATGCGGATATTTTGCTAATATGATAATACGATTTAAACATGCAGTGGTCGGATTTGGCTGCTAAACTTTTTCTGAAATAGTGGCACGTACTTGCTCGACATCTCTGAAGGCTCGGTGCCCAGATTTTTCGCGAAGAGAAAATGGCTGTCTTAGCGGCATTGGGTTGATTGGTTTGAATGTTGTCATTGCTTTTACGGTTCTGTCTACCAAATGATATGTTCGCTCTACAAAAAATGGGGAATAGTATTTAGCTTATTTGGTTTGCATGTAGACATTTATGATTGATAATAAAATTTAGAGCGTTTACAGAAAGGCTAAGTCAAATCGGTCAAAATCTAATAGCGAAACCTAAACATTTTCTCCAACAGTTTCACTTTTTCTCAAACGTTGCCGGTTACCACAGTTATATGGGCAAGCCGTAGCGTAAGTACATCCAATAAGACCAGTTGAGGAATAGCGAGTTTGTATACTCGTACTCAAAGTTATAGCAGGCCAGAGTTGCTCCATCATAAACAGCGATCCTCATGATAAATGAATACTGTATCCTACACAATAAAAAAGCAAATCAGACCGTGTTGCTTGTAAAGCGGCTGTCATTCAATGAACCAAAATAAACGCGCAACCACATATGTAAGATATGTAATACCTTTAACGTGGAATATATATGCTAGCTTCAAACTTTTGCAAGGTTTTTAAGCTTCAAAGGGAGAGTAGTAAATTTGTCATGGAGGATAAGGCGCGCTATATCGCAGTTATTTGGAAACCACGAAGGTCCGAAGGTGATCAGTGGCATAAGCTGCTGACTAGCGGTTCAAACCGCTGAGGGCCATGGGTTCGAATTCTGTTGGATCCAATGGATGCACACTACTGACAATGCACAAAAAGGCTGAAATTGCAGTCTAGTGCTTTTCCGGACATGTGGACGAATATCTGATTTGGAAGCTGACTGCGACAGACCTCAATTAACTAACCTGGATACTCTGCACATGAATCACACATTTAAACCAACAGCACCAAACGTGTCATCTGTTGGGCAGGCATAATAGGCAGAAGTAATCATAAATTTACTAGCCAGGATTATAACAAAACACGAAATTTGTTAATATTTAGCCTAAAGTTCGTACAAAATATTTTGCTTAAATAACAGTTCAGGTACTTTGCAATTAAGCATGCTAAATGGTGACTAAGAACACATCATATGACAAATGCGCTGTTAAGGCAATTCTGTTCTCTCTTCCGGGATACCTCGCTTGATAACTTTAGCTGAATATTGACCTCTCATGATGCTATTATCAGCATTGATTGAACGACAAAGTGTCGCCATTTCATTAGCTTTTAATTATTATTGAACTTTTAATGGCGCCATTCCATTCGTGCTCAAGTCAGAAGGATACGCTTTAGTGATGTGTACCAAAAAGCAAAATGGGGGAATGGTAGTACTACCTGCTATTGTAGTTTCGATACAAGTGGTTTTATTGTATGTGCTCTCGAAGCATAGTTGTTGACAAACGTTAATATACAAGCATTGTTTGCGGTTTGCTGATTAAAATTAAACCCATAACGCAGGGCGACGACGAACGTTAGAGGTGTGTGCCACTTTCCCTAACAACTCAGCCTGGGAACTCTAAAAACGTACAGCGGACTTTCTCGGTGTCTACGGAGCGATTTCACAATGGTGCATCTTAATCTAAAATCCATAACGACACATGCCACTCTCTTTGGAAACTAAGTCAAAAACACATACCTGATAGATCATCAGTTTAAGCTGGCCGCACAATACAGTGGAATGGAATGTTAAGGAACCATTCTCTCCCTCTGTGTGTCAGCCTTTGGAAGCCCTTTCAATGCAAGTACTTAATGCATCCAACTTAAGCCTATTCATAAAGTGCCTCGACGATACACTTGCACATTTACAATAGGTGATATAGCGCATGACAATCAGATAATTGCAATAGTGCACAACACAGTGGAAGGTGTGATACAATTCCTACATTCCAGGCAGAAATACTCGTAGATGTGTTACCCCAAACCCCATAGTGAGTGACGCACCTCATGCGTTCATTTTTTGACACCATTTTTATTTTGTAATTTTCACCTTAACTATCCTAAGTGACAAGTAAAGCATTCGCTCATATACCCGTCATTAACCGTTACTCCATTTCTTCATTAACCGCACGGTTTGGGATTTCTGCTGTTGATCGGTTAGCCGAATTTGATAGATTGGTAGCATAAGTTTCACCAACATGCGTGGTGTCCTCGTCAGTGCGGCAAAGTGCAGCGGGCGATTTTCTTAGTAAATATGCTGTATCCGGAACATGCTGTTTGCCAGGATGAAGTAACTAGACTAACTGTTACTGTGTTTAAGAACACTGCCAGGTATAAAGCTAGTAACGATCTGCATCTAAATGTTGTGTCTATGCATGTTTATGTATTATATAAGTTGATTTTTCTACTAGATATCGAAAATTATCAGCAACATCGCCCAATGCACAGACGATGTCAGCTCGCAAGGCTGCGACACTTTTGAAACCAATATATCTGGTTCAGGTAATCATTTGGCAGCCAAACGTAACCTTATTTATGAACGAAATTAGAGTATAATCTCTTTTTATGTCTTACTATACTCCTATCATTTACTCAAATGCGCAATTACAAATGCCCCCTGACACGACGACTTGTTTCGAGTTACAAAACCTGCTGGGCAAATAACTCAATTTCATCAGCAGATACGCAAAATCCTTCATACTAATGGAACGGAGATGATTGCTTAACCAGTGAGGTGCGTTTAGCACTGGTTCAATAGTGGCGCGGATTTCGGTTTGGCATCAATCCCTTTCTTAATCTGACAGGACAAAATACTTTTATTGCTATTAATCATGATCACTCTGCCAATGCACTAGGAAAATTGAAACGTTTGTTTCACTTTTCCATTTCCCTCTTTCTGTAGGCGGCAACGTAGACAAGCATGAAGTTGTTAAAATTATATCCGAAGTACGTCTGACGTCATCAATCGGACCGTGTCAAAGTAATGCATACCAGTTAGCAACGATCGCGAAACGTAAGATGGGGAGCTTCGCTTGAGACATCTTGCAACGTGTCTTGTCAACCGTTAGATGTGTGTCAGTTGGTTTGAGCGAATTTGAATTACGCCGCAATCTTTGATGTGTTGGAATATGTTTCGCGATGTGCACTCATTTGCACTCAAACCTCTCCACAACAACCAAACCTGCCCTGCCATATGCCCGAGCCACTAATTAATGCAGAATGGAGTGTTTCCCGTTCATTTAGGCTGCCTAATGTTCTCCGCGCGTTTATCGTTGTCGAGATTTTAGCATATGACAACAAAGCACGGAAAGTGACGAGCACTCCTTTTCTGAATCTGAACAAGGTCAAATGCTAATTGACTTTGTTGCCTTGTGCGCTTGTGCGCGCGCGTACAAAATGCTGACGGACGTGCCAATCACTCCGCCAATCTGAAGGCAGTTTGTGGCTTACAGCATATGCGATGCTATCCATGACACGATCTCACTAGACTGCGCAAATTGTAAAAAAATTCGGGGCTAACCCGATAAACCCACAGACAAACATACGAGTTTTTCATCTTTTCTTTGGCACTTAATGCTCTAGTAGCAAGAATCAAGTTTCTGAAAGGTTTTCACTCAACCTGCATAAGCTGACTTTACAGTGTATTCAAACCATAAAGGAAAGAGACGGCGATTAGTTCGTAACAAACATTTTGTGAACCACGCTTGAAATCGCGAAGTTCACACATATATTTCACGTTAACTGATGTGCTATGCAACATCCCCTTCTTATCGACTTAGCCTGGGTTGATTTGCAAACAACTCGCCAAATCTGTGCGTGAAGTCATTTTGCGCTAAATTGTTTCATATACTCTATGCCAACATAGATTTTATAACTATTTGGTCTCAGACCCTCGCTTTATAATTAAAACCATGGTGCTTGCGCATTATGACTTCATATTTTATTATCATTAGTAAAAGTGCATTAGCTTGCTGTGTATCACATTGTTAGGTCCCATTTGCAAACTTCTTAAAGCATTTATGTTACCGAAATTTCACATTTCATAGATCCATTAAGTTTATATATTTTACGATCAACACTCCAATTGTTCTATCATGGGACACTGGCGACAAATAGTAATAAGCCAGGTACCTTAGCATAATTCGATAACTAATCATAAACGTCATATCACTTTATTCTAGGCAGAGAGTGACCTAAAGATGCCGATTCAAAAGTCGGTTATTTATCTGAACAACTGCCTGGTTGGAGAAGATTCCTGCAATATGTAATGTGTTTCCGCTGCATCCTCCGGCATTTTCGCTGATTGGTTATGGTTATTTTTATCCCACCGTAATTTCTCATCCAACCTTTCAGTGCCAAACGAGTTTAGTGGTGCGCAGAGAAAAATCGCGCTAAGACTGTTGTTGATAGGTTGTTATTCCGCTATTTAAATAGGAATATGGAACTACTAGCGAAGTATCGAATATGTATTTTTGATAAAGCAGCAGCACCATTTTAGTATTCAGCTGCGATCATCAATGGAAAAAAGTGCAGATCGGTATGCCATTTTGTGTTATGCTCTCAGAGCTGCGACTTATCTCTTTTTGAGGTGTGGATAAATGGTAATACAGTTATGAGTTGAGTCCACTGTTATAGAGACTATATATTTCTGACCGCTTTACAACTGGGTGGTGGTTATATAAGCACGTTAGTGTATGGCAACTAACTGCTTGACGTAAATTAAACTCTACACTGATACTGAACATCCTACTGTGGTTATATCAATCACAAATTTATCATTAACCTCGTCAGATGCTGTTGCATTTTCATTCAGTTTCCTGCTTTTGCCAAACGAGGATGTAATGAATTGGATTGATTCTGAGTGTTAATTATTGTTGTTTATACAGAACGCACAATCTGCCAGGTTAAGGATATCAGGTCCTCAGGAGCACGATGAAATATTTGCATTTGACTGTGCACAATGCAATACTGCTCTTAACTTGCGAGTTATTCATTTAGGTATGGTAATCCTACTAATTTGCATGAGTTATTAGTGCTTTGATGTATATTTTGCATCAATTCAGTTATGCAGTGTTACTAAACCGAGTGGACGCATCTATGTGAAAGTGTAAATTCGAGGATGGAGTTATGCAGTAGTTAGTGCGGACGGCCATAATTGATTTCCAGCTGCGATATAGCCGTCTTATCCACCATCGTTATGCACGTTATAAACGTTTAGTTGTAAAATATGTAGGGGATAGCGGACGGCCATTATGGAAGAGTCGGGACCTAAATCATGGCAGTCTAGTACATTTGTGGATGTGGGGCGCCAGTCTGACTAGGTCTGACTGCGACGAACCGTCTCAAGAAAGCGACATACTTCTTATGCGTAAAGTCAAACAGCCTCAAATATTTACCATCATAATTGATGATGATTGTAAATTTTGTTCTGTTGTATTCAATTTATAATTAATATATTTTGCGCTTCATGGTAATGATATCCTACGGCATAGTATTTTTTAAGTTAAACTCACATAATCGGTATCAGGACAGCTTACTTGCCAGCCAGATAGGCGACATACATGTGCACTTCACATTTGCTCGCCATACGATCAGTTTAAAATCTATCAGCAAAATACCGAAGGAATACGAAAATAGGTGTATACACACGTTTCGTTTTGGCAGCTCGGTGCTGTTATAGCAATAACCCATGCACATAGCTATAGCTAACATTACGTGCTACCAGACACACTTAAAATGCAGAGTGAATGATAAAAGTTTACCCTAACTTCAAGCCTTAGCCTGATGAATAGTTGTTTTTGAGCACACTGGACTATTTCATCTGACTTATTGTGACAAACTTAACATTGCAACTGAACTGGAGGCCAGCGTGCAGTGCACTGAGACCAGCTCTATTCGGTGACACGGAACCAGATGCGTGCCCATCGTTAACAATGACTGCCTACGCCAGCGCGGGGCTTGACAGAATTAAGGAATCTAAACCATTTCACGCGGAACCCATTTCATCACATGCTACACTATTCGGGAAGTCGGAGACTACACTGTGACTGGGTTGGCAAGTGTCTGCCGGAAGCTACTACAAAAACTTAACAAAGAAAATTCATAAGTACGATGCGCCAGACTAACTAAATTATATATAAATACCCTAAACATAAAACTGGTATGCAATGTTGATTTTTTGAACAATACGACTTAATGCAACAGCCTGAATCGCAAATACATAAGTTAGTCTTTTATATCGGAATAAAAGTTGGACTTGAGTCAAAAGTAAGCTTACGTTTCTTTTGTATTTGCGATGATTCGTGTCCAGGAAAGTTTTTCGTTAGAGCCAAAGCCGACGGAACCAAATTTTGAACTCGTAAGTTTCGGAAGCGTATTCTGTCTTAGTGACGTAGATTCTGCAAGTTTACCGATAAGTAAATGAAGGGTAATTTGTACCAAACATAACATAATTTGAAAACTCAGTACCGTACTTGTGTTCTTTTGTCACTAATGTACGGGAAACACATTTTATCAAAAGGTGCTGATTCTAACAACTGGTAATTAAACTGCGTTTAGCGAGAGTCGAATATGGTGTGTAAACAGACCAAAAACAAAACAGCACCATACAAAAGGATACTCTTATTTATACACTCCTCTAGGTGAGCATTCAAATCTGAGGTGTTCTGTTTCATGTCATCCTTATTATCGTGGGCTGATAAACACAAGTATTTGAAGACAGGACAAAAACAGATAAATTAGCTAAACCAGGGCAGAAACCAAAGATCTACAACTTCCGTTACCTTCACTTGTCATAGGCTGCTATACTACGGCCGCTTAGGCGCACGCAAACTAAAAAGTAATCTGTCACCCGGTGTCAGTCCAATAGTCCTGCCCAAGAAAGGCGCGATGGAGACACCTAGACGACTGAGCATTAAATGATGACTCAGAGCTAATACGTAGGTCGAGAGACCTGACATGAATGTCGCTGGGTCATTATATTCACAAATCATCTAGAGCAAAAGTGTCAAGTCTCAGCACCAAACAGCTGACAACAGTCTGAATCTCTCACAATGTTGATTTATTTTCTAGACCAGCTCAGTAACAACGAAATGCGCGTTAAACCAAGCAGGCAACAGCACTGTTTATCTCCAAATCCTGAATAGGCTTATTTTATGTTCTAATTGTGACAGTGTCAAAAAGCTTTTGTGTCTAAACTTGGAATTTTGGCATGGCTTGTACACAATTCCTTCATGAAAAATCCCGAAACTCTGCTAGATGGATGCGGTTTTACTGACCATAAAATTACTGTGCATAATGTTTACCTTAACATCACCTACAATGTAGGGCCACTTGGACATCATACATTTATTCCAATAACTCATCTTAAGGTATATAATAAAAAATTCATCTTCATACTTTTTAGTACTACATGGTTCACTCTGGCCACACCCGATATGGCCCAATTTGTGATTGCAATTCGATTGCTAATATCTGATAGTTATTGTTAGAGCAAGAGTGAAAAGCTTAGCGCAATCCAATTTGTAACATGATCGCCAACATATTTTACAAAGTATTGGTTTGATAAAGCGATATGTCAACAGCTTGCTCTTTATTACAATTGCGCGTCTTATGCAAGGGTAGTACGCATGTTACCTATCTAATCATAGAGTAAAAACTGTTTTCATGTTAAACTGTTACCAGGTGAAATGTAGCGTATACGAATTTTGTTAGCAGTTTCATTTAGCACAACGACCAAAGTATATGATTTCATATTAGTAAATATGTGACAGAAGGTGCGAAAATACGTATGGTCAGGTGCAGAAACCAGCTATCAAAGACTTTACTGAAGTGCATGTGTTCGAGAAATATCAAACGTCGTCTAAACACTAATGTTAAGGGATAAAGCATCAAATCGCAACTAGCGGAACAAATCAACCACGAACGTATTCATAATGTAGTTAGGTCGGCTCAGTGTTATAGTAAGCTCAAGTATTGAGGTAACAGTAAACGTTCGCAAAACGTTTTATACGCGAGCATATCAGATTAAACAAAAAACAAGTGCAAATGTGTACAAACATGCTTTTACTGTTATGTGACGAGTGTTGGCAGATTTTTACTTGCAGCTTTTTGCTATCTTCAAATCAACAATCATTCAATTAAATACAAAAGGTGGGTTTTTCCAAACGCAATGTGTCCCCATATGTTGTTCACTGTAAATTCGATTATTTTTCGAGTAATTTGAAATCTAGTAAATGGATCAGAGGCTGTAGGCAATTGAAAATACTACAACCCGAGCAGCAACGGGACAAGCGTTTTAACAGGTGTTATAAGGCAGCGCTGAAACATGAACGGTGAGTAAGTAGGTACAAGAAAACAGAACTTGTTAGTCAATCCTAGAAGCTGGTGGAAATGGGATCCATACTGCCACAAAACCACGCACGCGCACCAACTTGTGATGTGACCTCGACTACTGACGAAACATTGCAAGGTAACAGCCCAGCACAAAGAACACTGCAGCACCTGAACACCTACCTCTACCTATAAGATTTTCCTCTGATCTCCAGTGTAAATAAGTAGTAACTTGACTGGGTTTCTTCAAGCAGATACAAACAAATGATGAGATTTAAAGACCCATGAGTGTTATTTCCGATGAATCTACTTCAGCTGATTTGTATAATGTGATTTTATTTGTTCAGCACCAACAACACTACACAAACTGATTCACAAATTCTTCCCCAACAAAAACGTAGAAATTGTGGACACTCTTAAGCGCTAGCAAGAATGTAGTTTGTATATGACGCTATAAATTGGATAAGCTCGCTTTTTAGGCATTTCATCAAACCTGCAAAGTTTGATAAAACCATCACAAATATATGGAATTAATGTGAGAGTCCATGTGATACAGTAGCTGAACCGGGCATTCGTTTAACAGAGTTAAATTGAATAACCAGCACAATCAACCATGAATGCAAGTGTTATCTATAAAAGACAATGGAGAGCTAGCACAATTATCACGAACCACAAAATATAGCGACAGAAGAGAAGGAAACCCCCAGATTTTTTCGGCAAGCTGCTATAAGTTTCGTCATGTAAAAACCCAAACCACGCTATTACCAATTAAAGTATATGGAGTATATTGGTATGCTTTTACCAACACCGCAAAATTTAGCCTGATAACGTTGTACAAATGACATAGCTTTATGCATTCAGACAAAAAATATTAGTTTTAATTAGGCGCGACGAAAAGCAACTAAGACAATGTAGAAACGATTCTTCGTTAAATAATTACTCTGCTTCGTACTTCAATTTGCATTTCGTGCGTTTATTTTACTATTTGCTTCCGTCTACTGAGCAGTAGAAATGTTGTCAATCAGACACTAACATCAAGCAAGCTAGTTTTTGACTGCTTTCCAGGTGGATTTCGTCCTGTAAGAATTCAACATAGTTTGGCAAAGGCGTCTGTCTACCTGCCACTACCTGATCAAACAACCAAACAAAGCCAAGACGGGCGAATCAATGATATTTACGTATTCTAACAATCGTCAATCTCTGTGAATTGAAAGACCCACCGTAATAGTAACAATTAATAAAATGCAAATTTTGTTTGATTATTTCTAGGGGCTGGTTCAGAATGGTTATAACTGTTTCATTAAATATGAATATGTGTTCACAAGCAACAAATTTCTCGAAGGCTTACAATAAACTATTAAACAAATTATTTCTACAGCCCTGTGGTTTACGGCAACCTTTTCCAAAACGTTGCTATACATAAATGACAGATCATTTCGAAAAGCGACTATTTTCTAAAGTCAGAACTATTCTTTCGTAATACCCGTAGTATAATATAAGTTGTATTGTCACGCTACCTGAAACCACACCTTTTTCCATTCATACATTTATGTATTCTTTAGAACAGACGCTTTGGGCTTGAAACAAATGAACTGATATTCATTTTGCGAATGTGCTGCTCTGAAAAGTTAAATATCCCTGTTACTATCAGTAGAGATTTGTAGAGATTTGTAGAAGGAATTGTATCACTTTATCTTTTTGCCATTTATGCTCAAGTGTTTAACATTATGTAAGTCCCTGTAATCGATGCGCACTTGCGGCAATAAGGTCAAAGACAATATCAGGTTCTTCCAATTTTGTTGCTGACAGTAGTAAAAGTAAATTTAATGAAGATATTTAGATTAAGCGTGCCTTAAAAAGCAAATATGTAAGTACACCCACCTGATGACGGAAAACAGATGCGGTCAAATGTGGAGAAATTATCAAGCGGTTAATACACTCTACAAAATATCACGGCGTGTCGTTTGTTGCCTATGTGCAGTGTACTGCCCTACTAAAAATAAGTTTCTATAAGCCACATATATTTGGTTTCGATCAAACAGCTGTACGTTGTCACCTGTGCTTTTCATTTTGTTGGGTTAAAGACGGATGAACTATTATTACATTAATTTTAGGATACGACTGAATTGTTTTATTCATTGTTACCTTTCCGCACATCAAGGGGACGCCGTTAAAAGCAACCTGACATTTTATGGACGGTTTCATGGAAAAGTGCGAACAATTATTCAATTTGCGCTCCGTTACTGATGAACTCGTTGTGATTCGGATTTTATGTGGCAGTGCGAATTCACTGCACAACTTTCGTATTGCATTAAATTCTAAAGCGTTCCTCACATGTGAATAAGTGTTACATCCTTGTGAAGCTTTTAACATTGAGCCATTTTCTGTAGCATCTTTTAAACTGCTTTAAAATTCAAAGAAACGCTGGATAAATGGATTGTCACTAGTTGTTCCCATGTCTGCCCCTGACACAATGCCATAAAGTAAATATTTGCGAAAAAAGCATTGGCGTTTAGGATTTGGTTGTTTTGGTTTTTGTCTTTCAAAACATAATTATATATTATACTTACAAATCGTTGGTGTCAGTTACTAGATATTGTCTAAGCCTTGACTTGGAAAAATAAATAAATCTGGCAGATTTCTAAACGTTGTTTGCCGCAAGCCTCTGGGATAACAAAACTATTCCCCGAGGCATACTAGTTTAAAGGTACTGTAAAATCAGCAAAAGCATATTAATCGTTTCACTTGTTTGATAAAATACCGAAACTGGCTTCAAGTGTTGCTATTGATATAGTAACAACATATTGCGATCAGCTCCGCAATAGCAAGGTGTATGATTTACTTTTCTCTTGGGTCAAATCATATTATAATTTGAAATAAAGTTTTGCTCACCAGATTGTACATCCTTTACATCTTGTCCACCAATAGCACTGATATAAGTAACACATTTTTCAGGAATAATTGGCGCATCGCTGTCTTGCGTTAAGTTTATATTGGTCATTGAAAAAGTCGAAGACAGGCTGTATAAATGAGGGCGTGCGACAAAACTGCATAGTGTGGAGGCTACTCGGGTTTCCGAACAGGTAGCTTTAAAAATTGAACAAGCTTTCTTCCGTTTGTTTTGCAGTATGTTACGCAGCTGTTGAAGAAAAAGCAATAAGACAGTGCTAATATATTGTTTGCTTAAGAGTAAGATAAAAGACGCCGAAAATGAGCGAGAAATTAGTGCTGCGTTTAAAGTAGCCAAAGAAAGATTTTTCAGTTAAGCCGCAGTAGTGAAGACGTCTTTTCTGGAATACGCTTCGTTGATCGCAAGTTAATTATAGACTGCTTGATTCGCTTCCAAGCGTTAATTGATGAACGATTACTACTTCCTGCTAACTTGCGTAAACAAGTCTCAACTTTGAAAGATAACGTATCATTGGTGTTTTTGGAACATTAGGTGTTCGAAAAATGCATGGCCGTGATAGAAATATAGCTACAGGAGGGTAATTCGAAAGACATTTTACTACGCTGCTTCAACTCAACTTGGAAAACTTGTGAACTCAAGGAACTTTGAGCTAGTATATGATCAGTTTTACTATACGGGTGCAACGGTTTTCGCACATGTATTATTTACGTGATGTATAAAAAACGGCGGGGAAGTATATGGTATTGCATCTGAAGCTCAATTCGTTTATCGGTGGCAAGTTAGCGGAAAACCGCCATAAAATCAATGTTGTGCTCAAGAGTATATAATGGCCCATAGGAGCAAAGCGAGAACACTAAGTTAATTCGAATGGTTGACAGCAATGAAAAAGGTTGTAGAGAAAGACGAGTGGCAAGAAGTTATTCTAAGCTGCGTATTTGCGGTCTGTGTGAATTTTGTCACTAAGAATATATACATATATGTATATATATATGTCTCATTCCTCCTGAGAGCGCATCCTGCTATTTTGACTGTGCAAGATTGCATTCATGTATTCGTTTGTTAAGCTGCCATTCAGCTAAGGCGTTTGTAACCGGACCTCCCCATAGCCTTCATGTTGCCAATTCTTATGCTACTTTTTAAGTACGGAGTTGAGGTTTGACGGAGTATGGGATTTTTAATGAACTATAGTGTGCTAGTTCGGTTGGAATGAGAAACCAAATGCATTGATGTTCACTGGGTAAAATTTAATAGTTCAAGTCCGTCTGAGTGCTGGGAATTGGCTAATGTGGCTGAGTGACAAGCATTGCCTTTGTTCTTATCCCTTTACCTAGTGTTTTCAATCGCTAAGCAAAGTAACAACATAATTATTCATTCTTCGAGGTGTTTTGTTTTTCAAAGTCAACTACCGAGAATGCTTTTACAAAACGCACTATTTTATTTCTAGAAATGGCGGCCAGAAAGCAACTCAGTCGCTTTTTGCGCAACCGCCTCCACCAGATTGATATATATGAGCAAATTTCACTCATTAGGAACACAAAGGACGCAGAAACTAGTGATGGTCATGTGCTTTTCAAACAATTTTTGCCCGTATATTAGCTGGTAGCTGAATTCTTGTTTTCTCAAAGCCCTTCAACCTGATTTCTTCAACCCCAATTTCCGCATCATTTTACTTACTCGGTCATCAGACCGCATTTATGGCGTTTTGCGATACACATAAACACAGCGCTAGAGAGATGTAAACGCAGATGTCAAAAATTCAGCATAAGCTTGAAATTTTAATGTTGCTTTGAAACAAACAAGATCAAATATGAGTTTTTAAGGAAACATCTTTTTATAACCTTTTTTATTATAAGTTATCAAAGGAACGGAGAAACAGGCTTATTAAGCGAAAATCTTTTACCAAAATGCAACACATTTGATTGTCCGTTATGTTATATACTATTTTATACGGTTAATATAAGATAAGAAACGACGTGCTTACTTAATTATAACTCTTGTTCAGAACAACTGTTATATAATGAAGATCAATTTACCCTGTTTACCAAATTGACAGTGCTCTGTCCATAGCTCCGACTTGGCAGCTGAGGTGGTGTGCTAGTAGGCCTAGTTGAACCCAGATCCGAAGATACTTCATTATCGCGGTTCAAAAGATAAGGAATACTCCAAGCTGAAAGTTTCAGATCCCCGGAGGATTTTTGGGAGTCTTGCAGTTCATAATAGATATGACTACTCGGATGGGCTGAAAATGGCTTTTAAAGGAAACGACGTAAATATATCGGGATTATGATATAGTCAAATTAATATGTCAGAAACAAATATTCGTCTATATTAATATACCAGTGTAAATACCTAACGCCAGCTGTGCATAATAAAATTACTCAGCAACCTACTAAAATGTTAAGGAATACTGACAACACTGAATGTTTATACAGTCGTTCATTTATTCACCAAACTTTTCGTCACCCTGTGAGATGGTGACCAAAGTATCTAACTTGAAGAACAAGCAGACAGTCGAACCTATCTATTTTGTCGCGTCAATAATGTTACTAATACATATGACTACTCTTCACATAATATTATTAATTATTAGTTATGACGGCTAGGCGTAACTTGAGTTATACTATCAGCTGTGTACTCTACGAGTGATGATATGGCCTATTTCCAAAAGGTTATTGAGCAAACTTATCTCTAAAATTCTCGACAATGGCGTATAATGTCCATAGTAAAGCTATTTTTAGTTGAATGATAGAAGTAGACATTTTAGTATTTCATAATTAATAACTTTTTCGAAAAAATGTTTAGTTTGTATCTTTTCCCACTAAAATTATCCAAATAGTTTTAGTTCCAGTAACTAACAGTGTCGTAATCCTGTTCCTGGATATGCAAAAAGCCTTTGACAGAGTGCCTCACAGAAGGTTACTGGAAAAAACTGAAGGCTATAGGCATTAGAGAACCGATGTTCTCTTGGCTGTCTTCATATCTAATTGGTAGACAGCAGGTTGTGCGCATAGGCGATCATTTCTCTACACCGAAAGCAATCACTAGTAGAGTGATTCAAGGAGTGTTCTTGGTCCACTTCTTTTTCTAATTTATATTAACGATATATTCCAGAGAATAAGAAATGGTGTTGCATTTATCTTTGCTGATGACATTAAAGTTGTCTACTCACAACCACGTGCAAATACTCAGGAAGCCGTACGTCTCATTCAGGATGACCTATCCGCCCTTGACTGCTGGTGCCAACTGTGGCAGATGTCATTTGCCGTGGACAAGTGTAATATTTTGTCGTACAAATGCCAAGTACCGCCAGACAGTTTATTGCTACAAGGTGCCTATATCTCGCAATGCAGGACAATTCGCGACTTGGGCGTGCGATATTCAGTTCCGTTTAACTTTTCTGAACACTGTGACTTCCAAGTTTCGAAAGCCATGAAGACCATTGGTTATATCTGCCATCATTTTTACCTCACGGAATCTCGCATATCCCTTTACAAAACATATGTATTGCCGTGTATGGAATACTATTCAATGATACAGTCCTAATCTACGGAAGTCTGACCAGCACGCTCTTGAGAGGGTCCAGAGACGTTTCACGAAATAGCTATGTGGATATTCCTCAAAGTTGACATACAAGGAGCGATGCGATAAACTTGGATTTGACCCAGTTTGGCTTCGGATAATGAAGCTGAACCTATGTTTTCTTTACAGAATCATAAATTGTCAAATTCGCAGTCCTGAAAGCGGTGTTCACATATCTGTAAACAACAGATACCCAATACGTAACAAAGAGGTAAAGGTCATGATTCCAAAATTTTCTACGAGAATCAGAGAACGTTTCTTTCTAACCCAATACTCAAAGATTTGGAACAAACTTCCAAGTGATATCAGAACATGCTATAAGCTTTGCAATTTTAAGCTTGCTATTAGTAAGCATTTAACCGTCCAAAACGTGATTAAGATGTTCGGGACATCACAGTCCCTAGATAACGCATTCGAAAACGGTATCCATGGTGCCTGAATAAATTTCTGAAACACATACACATAACATTTCGGACAACAGCCCCTTTCATTACATTTTTTTTCTCGGCCCAAATATCTATCATGTGATTGTAAAGAATCCTGATTCAGTGGCAGGCAAAAATAGCAGAACGATTCTGATTACTCTGTGTAACATAATTTGCAATTGCATCCATGTTTATCTCTGAAAATGTATTGATGAAATGTCATGGAAAAGTTGTACCATTATTTGATCTGTTCCTTATAGAGAACAGCTTCTCGCATAGTCGAGGAATATACAATTTATTTATTTATTTATTTAACACATGCTTATTACAAGACCTATAGATAATCCGCTACTTGCATGTCAATATTGACACAAACGATAAGTGAACAGTTTAAAATAAAGAAGTATCACTGTAATTAGCTTTCACTACTATGCAGTTGTAATTTTTGTATCTTCAGTACCATTATCCCAACCTTTTTAATTTTGTTCAAACGTACGGTTGACTATACAAGGTTTACATATCTTGCTTTATCAATATAGTTTTTTCTCAATATACGTACTTTTCGAAAAATTCCCTGGTCTGTTTCTGTCTACAGTAGTCCACCGTGAGTTAGCATCGCATTAAACTTTTCCCTCATGGGTTAGACCATTTTTGCACTAACGTTATTTTAACAGTCAGTATGCTATTACTGAAACATACCAACTGGACAACGTTGAACTTTGGATGGTAAATACCAGTGAGAAAGAGACAAAATGTGGGATTGTGTGAAAATGCTTTAGTTAGCCATTTACGGCTGCCCAGGTATTCACAGACCATGTCAACTGGAACATTCGCCATTATTCCCCAAATGTACGCGCAAATGTGCATGCTTAACTAATGAGGCAATTTGGTTTAGTCACCAGTCGTTCGTTCCCACAGATACCAGTGAACGCACCGGTAGTGAAGACCACAACGAGCGTGATTTATTCAAAAAATGAGACATAATACGCCACCTATTCCCAAATCACTGTTTCGTGGGATCTCCGCGGTAGCCGTGTATCTCCTGTTATACCATAAGTTTTCACGTTCTGCAACTTGAAAATTCCCATTTAAAGTCAAAAGAACACGAGACCATAGGGTGAACAATTGTTTTCGATGATTCTCTTCAGACCATTACAGTCATATTTAAGGGTGAAATAATGAACTGAACTCGACTCATTGGGGTCAAGTTACATAGTTAATTAACGGATCATTAGGGGAGGCTAAAAGTTGACCATTGATCTACAGGTCGATTGCATGATATCGAGCTTGATCTGTGGCAATCGACCTCAGTATCGTTCGTTCGCTCGAACTTATCAAGCGCGTATCTTAGGGGGCCAAGGGGCTGACAGGCTTTTAATGACATTTTAGCATGTTTCGAGCAGTTACGTTTGCCTGCGTAGCATGTTAGAATTGCTGATCTCCCAATCGTTATTAACGAGTAAATTGATTTGTTATTCACCATTCTTCTCGTTTTGCATGTAAAACCGGAGCCGGTTTTAGGATGACGACGTGTAGTCTTTGTTGAGGTCTATTTGTTGTGACGCATAGCCGTGCACTTTTGATTTAATGCCACAGCTTAGTTTCGTCGGTGTATATTAGGAAGACTGACGGGAGCTGACTAGGTTGTTTACGAATACTAGGAATAAACTTGATCCCAGTTCCGATCCTTGAGGCAATCCACTCTGCCAGAAAACACTGCACTACACTAGCAGCTCTACACTTATTTTATCTCATCATGTATAGAGAGCATGCATCAAACCTGGTGACAATATTGTCTTACTTAGGTGTGCTGAACGTTTAAAGATCCGGATTCATCCATATTTTTAATCCGTGGACGGACAACCGATCCTGTCTACTATCAATGGTATTAAAGACCGCAGCTTTTGCAGTACAACAAAATTTTGTCATATTCCAAGATTTATCGATTCGGGATTCACTAGCTTCTCACGCTTTAGGGGATTCCGGTGATTACTTCAGTAACCATTTTGTAGCAGTCATTAACTTTCACAATCCTATGGATAAGTATTGTAAGTTGTGTCGCTTCGTAAACTCTAGTAAGCCAAACATACCGAACTGCGTGAAGAAGTGTTAAATTCCAGGGTACATACACTGGAATACCAGCAGTGTGGCTTCTCGTGCTTGCGTTTTTACAATTACTCGGATTGCAACGGTAGCGTCTATCTGTACATCCGCTGTCATTATGTGGGACAGTTTTGAACACCTGCTGAAGCGGCAATATCATTGTAAGAAGATGTGGTGCCAAATCCACCCAAGGCGCACTGAGCTGTTCTTGGGCCCAGTACGGGACTGCGTCCTATGTTACAGTTCAAACTTTATGGACCACATTTGAACTCATCTCAATCGCTCACATTCTGTACTTGTTAGCTGCTTCAATTTTTCAGCAATACGGTGATGCAATGATCTGTCAGTCAACAGTCCTTGTGAAGTTAGTTTATGGAAGGCGTACTTGAAACTGGGTAGCACAATCATATGCCAATGCAAACACAATATCTTGCGAAACGCCGCCTGAGAGAACATTTCGTCAGCTTGATGAAACTGAGATACGCGGCACTCCAACAGAAAGCAATTATTCTGTGCTGATTGGCGGTATAAAACCGCGTTGTAATACTCTGTTAAAGGTGCTATCTTTACCAAGAAATTAACTTTGACGGTGCAGATCGAGATGTAGAGTATGGTACGTTAGTCTCTACCGCAGACTGCATGTACTGAAGCAGCTTAACACTTATACCAATGCAGCTGAGCGCATGAAACAAATTATTAACTTGACTATTAAAAAATATTTAACTTGTGTTCTTGCATTGCACTCAAAACCATCCTGACACCGAAATAGTAAACCCACATTGATTCAACAATAAATAGAGTAAACTGACATGGCAGTGTCATGAATTTTAGAGCTAGTTTCTATTATTTGGTTTTGTGGGCGACTACGTAATAATACGCCACGACAATTTTAAAACTAAGCAACTGCCGGAAAGTCGACACATCTGTCGGAAGATAATAATACTGCACGTTGACTGTCATATGACCAAACGGTATTCCTCAAATAGCAGCGCATCAAAAGGCACAGTGCATTGGCCTATTCTATTCCTGATCCACATCTAAGATATACTCAATTTCTTCTTATGCGTAGCGCAGCGTTGGACTTAGAGAGCTATTAATTAACTTGAGGAAGTCAACCTACATCATTAGGACCACAGTCGTCTTCAGTGCGGCCTGCAGAATTCTGCCCACCAAGTTAGTGTGTATGAGACTAGGGAATTTAATTTGGCAACGGTAACAACGCTTTGGTAGCATGGTTTTGTGAATTGTTGCGATTTGTTAATATTGTGATAAATATCAATCCTTATGCCTAGTTTTGAATCTGAAACACCCAAACTTTATTAAGTTAGGTAAAGTCGCCATATATTGATCGATATAATTTGCGCACAATTTTCGTAATCCAATTAATATTAATACTAACAAAAAGTATATTTCAGCTGTTCCAAGAAACTCTGACTGTAGCAGCAAAAAGCAAGTTGTGCACATGTTTCCATGCTCCTCATTGGAAGATATACAAAGGTGGGACATGGGGGTTTGCGATTCATAATACCGTTTTGGTGGATGATTGAGACGAAAGCCAATTTACGGGAACGCGAGTGCAGCAATATAAATGTATCTGGCTACGGACATGATCGCTATTATGTTGGACGACAACTCTATTTCTATAAATCGACATGTTTGGGCCATTGTGTTCGCGCGGTATCTCCTTTCCTGCGCAAAGAACAAGCAATGGTTTCTGCAAATTCCACTTGACTATGCTTATACTATCTAAACTTACCAGACGGCTAACGATGGACCATAATTGAAAATCTATTAGATTAAATATAGCAGATGGTCTAGCCTTTAGGCCGTATTTAAAACAGTCTTAACTTTCTGTAAGCACGGGCAAAGTAGTCGCTATTCAAATCAATGCGAAGCCGTTATGTTAGAGTGAAAGGCAGAGCACTTGTACATTAAGTGGAATACAAAATGGACGCACGCTAAATCCATTGGCGTCTTTGCCTTGTCATCACATAAGTATGGCATACAGTGTACAGAGTTGGTATCAATATTAATGAGTGGGAACCATGCTCACCAAGCTACTTCCCACAAGTTGAGTCAACCGATGATTCACACGTGCCATGGACAGCACAGTTTCCTGTGCGTCTCAACTAGACACGGGAAGAAATGATGGTCGCTAACTTACTCAGAGCAAATCGATTAGATTACTCTGAAAAATCCCGGTTGTCTGAAACAAAGGATCACAAGGTTGCTTTTGTTGGGCCGGCCAACTCGTACCCATGTAAAAAATATTATAATTTTGTCCATACCTTAACTATCATCAGTGAATGCCTGCTGTTTTCAGTAAATTTCAGTCCTAAGTTGCGTCATTTAGTAGAATAGTTACGCGGAAAATAATATGTATTTTGCTTCACATAAAATAATTACTGGAATATGGGTAATTACAAAATACGTTTTACTGGTATGCTTCAGCTAGGCTACTTGTGACCACTAAGTTATATACCGATGGATCAAAACACATACTACTTGCTGAGAAAACAGAGCTGCGAATGCAACCAGATTATTGAATCTTGAATACGTGCAGCAATGTGTGAGCAAATGTAGCACGACTTAATTTTGTTCATTGATCATAGAATAAATAAGGAAGCCCGGTCTGTTGTGTGACACAAGTTCTCTTCTTATAGCACAAGGACTGAACATCTTCTTGGTGAAAACATATAATAAACATAGTGTACAATCATTTTGTGTTTTAGGAGGGTGTACAATCACACACTATATGAAAAACTATTGCATTATTTTGGCTAACACGGAAGTTCGCCAGACTTCAAATGAACTAATGATGCATTCAAAGTTAAATCGCACTTAACACCTACACAACTGTTTCTCATCGATTTTACTTAGGCCAAATTAAGATGTTTAACATCTTGGGATCCAAAGAACTTGTCGACAACATACGTTGTGTTTAGTTAAATGTGCTGTCCTATGCACAATATTGTATGGGTTTATTTCAGTAGGATTCCATTGGCATTTGTTGATTACATTGTATGTTATCTAAACACATTATGATTAAACGAAATCCTCGTAACAGGTTTTTGATTCACTATTCATTCAACAGTCGGGGAAGAACTACAAATTTAATGCTATCATCAGGAATAACCAGAACACATAGATGTAGTTTTTTTGTAGAATGCGTCTCAGTGAAGGATAAAAATCGCTTAGCGCTATACTATATTGCAACTGGAACCAGTCACAGGAGAATAATGTTGATCAGGCAAATCATGGTGTTGCCTGATATTTGATGTCCAAACTTTATCTAATTGCATCACAGAATCATACCGGAAACAAAATTTGTGCCGCGCTGCATGCACCATTCCAACATACCTGATGCAGCTTTAATCAATCAGTACTCGTCCTAGGAATACGGAACCGCAATGGGGCCCGTTTTATTGTATACTCTTGAAAATTAAGACGTCTGAAGACCACAATTCAATGTCTATTAAAGTTTGAAGATATCGCCTTAGTTAGGCTGAACTGACGTAGCAACAGCATGAATTTTCATATTATGTGGTTCAGTATTAGCTAGTTTATTCCTGCTTTGCATAGCAAACAAAAAGTGACTTATCAGTTAAGCTTGGGAACGGCACTTGCTATCCCAATTATCACACCTTTGTGTGCGTTTTGTTGAAGTTGCTGCTTATACTGTTATTTCGATTGCAATGACGCTCAAGAATGTTTTCCGCAACTCGCTTACTCAATGCTTTGAAGCCGTATGTACACTCAGTCAAAACATTTGATTTGTATGTTATTATTATCATTGGAATTTAAATCCAGGCGCACAGCAGCAAATATAAACCATACTTTGCATTGGAAAGTGTCCACACCGTGAAGCAGAATCAATGCTGAAATCCGAAATAAAATGTTATATGGTTTTAATCATGAATAAATGCCATATTCTATAAAGCGCTATCCACAGAAATTGTCTTAGAGATGCAGCAGAAGCCAGATATAGTTGGTGATATGGTACACGCAAAATACTGGGTATTTATTCATTTTAAACTATAATTTATTTGTTATAAAACAAGCTACTATTTCTTAGGCGAACCAAGGATATTTTTTTGCTAAATATTGTAAAACTACCTGACTTTTTCCGCTGGATATGGAATTTCGCTTCCAACACAATTCACACCACGGTAAGTTATCTTCCTCCTCGAAATTATTCACATCGTGGATGTCACCTTGTTCTAGTTGATCAAAGGATTTTTGGATTTTGCAATAAATTGGGTCGATGAGAGCACTGTTTTTTCCTATGCTGTTCGCGCCTGAACGTTGATCACCAAGCTCAAAATTTTCGTTTTGTATGATTGACCATTGCGATACTGCAGGTTGCAACCCCAGTAGATTACTTGGTGATTCAAAGCTGAATAAATAAAAGTTCAGAAATAAGCTTAAAACCTTGTCTCAAAGTTAAAGTCAGATGTTTCATGCACTACCAAATATACACACTGAAAGTTTGTTCCATCTCAGACGAAATATCGCCAACTAAGTCGAAATAAGATGACAAAATATGACGGTTCGCGAAAAATCGTGCAATTAAAATAATCGTTGATTCTGGCGTTTTCTATAGTTTATAGTTGTGAAGGCGATGATATGGGCTAAGCCGTAGGAAACAACTCGCTACTTGTAACCTAAATAGGGGCTTGTCGGTGTAAACATCCCTAATAAGTGACATCCTAGGTCTCATAGTTAAGATCGCCAAATTGACATGGGTTATATGTCAACCAGACTACGGTGAAAACGGAATCATTCGCTTTTTATTGAGTTCCGCTGATGAAGCAGAAGCTGGACACTTTCCAACTGCATCTTCCTGGTTAGTTCCTGGGGCAAGCGAAAGCAGGCGAAACAAAGCTTGGAAGTATAACGGAAATAATCCGTAGACAGATCTATCCTTGTACACGGTGTTCCGAAGATAAAAACCATGGTCATTACACAGCAGGAGGCGCACGGGAGGTATATTCGCAAGACACGCTTTATAAATACTTCATAGCGCAATCGATTTGGGGGGTTTTGAATATCCCCGAGTTACAAGAGAGGTGACCTGAAGATTGTGAAGTGGGGGCTTCAATCCAGTCAAATATCAACATTGGTGTTGATGTGCAGGTATGCGGATAGCAGCAGCCTGCCTTCCGAGCTTCGGATTAAAGCATCGCCCTCTAAGTAATTAGACGGTAGCTGCAAGTTAGTTGCACCATTTCCCGATACAAAATCGGATAGAAGCACTGAGCCAGCCAAAAACTTGTGAACACACCATAAACGTTACATAAAGAGTGAGTTACAAAGAGGTAGTGGCGGGATCACAGAATCTGACACAAATGAGTTCGTCGTCGTCCCACTCAGGAAAGGATTAGCTGCCCACCTTTCATCTGTCGGCACAACAGTATATCCAAAACGAATTTTTCACGTCTCATTACTTAGAAAATAGAAAACATCCTGCATGCACGAGCTTGCAGAACTGCGGCTACGTTCAGCGTCATATGCCTAGGACCACATATTCGTAACTGAAAAATGGTTGAACTCGGAAATTTCCAACACCAAATTGGTGATCACGGTGTGTTCCTTCTGCGAAACGATCACTCAAGCAAGTGCGGCGCAATAATTTTATACTACTGCCGAGACCTGTAGTGTGAACCGGTGGATGACCCAGAAATGCCGAACATAAGGTCAATCTGGTGCAGTGTGCGACTGAGACGCAACGACACATGCCTTTTGGCAGTTGTCTATCGTTCCCTAACATCCATGCCAGATTTAGAATCCGCCTGACATAAACATTACGGATGGTCATGCGACGACGATATAGTCAAGTTTTCATCTCAGATGACTACAACTACTACTCCAAAATCAGCACCAATACGAGACAGAGGGGCAACGCATTGAAACTCCCAAAACGGTATGGACCGTCTGGAGTGCCGCAGAGATTTCTCTTCAGTTCGCGTCCGTCAGTCGTGGGAAGCTGTCTTAGAATCGGTTGTTACTGCACCGACACAAACAGTATTTAAAAGACGGTTGGATGATGCACTCATCCACTTGCACCTTGTCACCTAGCGCTTCAGCTCCATCCTACTCCTGGATTTTACCATGAATTTATTTGATCTTAGCTTGAGTGCTGTTAATGTATGCGGATTGCATAACTACAACGGAGCAAATGATAAGTCTTTCTTTTCATCTTTAAAATACCAACTGTTTTACTTCCATTATTATTATCATTATCATTATTATTATTTCGATTTCCCTACCAGCTCTCCAAAGGGACTTGTAAAGCAACCCTTCCTAATCGGTATAAATCCATTATTCATTTTTTAATGTTCACTAGCTGAATGTCCCGGTATACCTTAACGAGCAGTTTAAGGCCAACCTGCTAGTGCATATTGCTACCACTCCGTTCTTCGAGAATTTCATTTCGCCCAACAGATACAGAGATGGAAATAGACTGTTTGTGCTTGATCTAGTGCTCATGAAGGAAGAAGTCATAATCGAGCTTTCAAAGATCGAGAGACTACTGTGGCTTAGTTTTCACGTAACCACAATTTACGACTATTTGAGTTATGCGGAATATCCACAAGTACATATTAACTTGTTTCGAACCGTCACACACTGAGAAAAAACTAAGAAATCTTGTTGGAGATGCCACCTTACAGTTTTCGGACGGTTGATCCATTGCTACTGCCTGAATAGAATCAGCAGGCAAGTTCGGTGTGCTGAGTAAATCCGTATCGGGTAAACGGGCCCACTCTTTCCGCAAAAGCACTTTTATTCATTTGAAGCAGAACCCAAAAATACATGGCGACGATAAACTCAGCGTGGCATGTTTACAAAGCGAACCCCAGCCCTTAAAACTGGAGCAATCATGTGGAAACGCTTTGTGTTGACACTAAGATACTGTACAACATTGTGAACAGCCTCCGGGAAGTAAGGCGTAGTTGACCCCTATCATCTCAGCAAAAGAATGTACTCAAGCGCTAACAATGTAGCAAGCGTTCCACGGACCAAATATGCACCAATATTCCGACGCGCCACCAGTATTTTTCAAATGCTGTCCCATTCCCCAGATATCAGTGTTTACACACGTCAATTTGTCACGCATCATTAGTTCCCAGTGTTGACAAAGCTATTACGAGATCACTGTATGTGACAACTGTGAGGATATTCGAGACCTTTAGGCAAATTTTCCAAAGATGCCTGGATGAACAGCAGGTTCCTGATAACTAGAAGCAGGTTACAATTAGCCCGATTTTCAAGAGTGGTAGGAGTGTAGAGCCCGGCAACTGTGGCACATTAAATCTAGTCCATGTGTTTTAAATTTGATGGAATAGGTCATAGAGGAGGCAATAAAAGGCAATCTGGAAACACCTAACAGGATAGCACCGGAGCAACATGGATTCCGTGAGTATCGGTCATATACTAGAAAATTTCTGATTTCGCTTGGTGGTTGGACCGAAATCGCCGGCGGTGGGACTGACACTGATGTCATCTATCACGATCATTCTAAAACTTTCGATCGTTCAGCTAACCGCATACCTCTCCTAATGGTGCAAATAAACAGAATTGGGAATCACGTTTCAGGATATATCGGAAATTTCCTCATTTAGCGGCGGCTTCTGTTTCTCTTTCGAGGATCATTTTCTGATCCAATTGACATGTACTGACGTGTTCCACGAGTGTCAGTGTTGAGGTCGCGCTTGTTCATGATTTGCATTAAAGACCTCGAGCGTATCCTCGGGACAAATTTTATGCTTTTCGCCAACGACATCAAGAGATGGAAGGTGAGAAGTAATCTAGGAGGTCAGAGTCTGCCTCAACAAGACTCAGACAGTGCTACTAAATAGCCGAAGACTAATCTACTTCCCTTCAACGCGGACAAGTGCAACACTGTACATGTACGCCATAAGCTTACTAAGGCATATAAGGTGGAAAGCCACATCTTGAGGACCGCCGCAACAGACCGTGAACTTGTAGTTGTGATGCAAGACCACCTCGGCTGTTCGGCATAGTCCTTGTGGGCGCCTAAAACCGCGAACCGACACTTTGGTTTCTTACGAAGGGCGTTCGGATGGTCAGACCCCACCATCTTTCCTGTAAAGCTCAACTCGTGTATGAGGTCCCATGTAGCGTAGCGCTTCAGGCCCATCAACACGGGCTAAAACGCGTGCCTGTTGCGCTGGAAATCTCACAGTAAACAGCAACCAAAATGAAAATTGATTGTTTCACCAATCATACCAGCTGCAGCTGAAAATTATAGAAGTGCAGGACGGATGATTTTACCGTATATGTATGGACCTCATTCAGGCATATCAATCTTGAAAAATCTTGGTCACGCTTGCTGCCACCTCCGCAACACAAAACTAAGTGGTCACTGACTGAAACTGACCACTCAACACCGTCAGCTGGAATGCCGCCGGAATTATATTCCCATTCCATCCTATCAACCTCAGAACGCTCTTTCGATCTTTGTCATTGTTGCGTCCACACTACACATTTTAAAAAAGGGACCCGACGACGCATTACACTAACTGCACCATTTGTTTTGACTTCTACCTAGAAAGACGGCAAGACTCAGAGAGACATTGTTTTCATCAACCCCAGTATTCAGGGTAAAAGGATATAGCTGTGTGGGAACGTAGATAATATGGTAAATCCACACATACGTTTCACTTTAGTGTAGGTCCATCTTCCAACTTAATTAATTCACAGAAATCCTTCCGAGAGATTACGTAGCCCTGACGCTGTCTCCATAATATACCGTTATCTCATAGTTTCATTATTTCAATATAATCTTGCATAGTTTATCCAACATCATCGTTTGATAACGATTCAGCATTACTTTATCCCATTGGCCAATGTGATAACCTCATCTACATTTCTAGAAGGCAACATTTATCTTGCTATTAGAAGTGATTAATTCTGGTTTCTTCAAGCCATTGAATAGTACAGGATTTCATTCGGATGTTGTCACTTGTGCCTACCTATTACCAAACAGGCTGTCGTCTGACTTAAGGTAGCACAGTGAAGCCGAATAAATAACACATGAAAACTAGTGTTCCTATAGGTCACAAAATATAGAGCAGAGATCCAGCTCTTGCCTGTCAATATATTCAAGCGTTATGCTGTTTTATTTGTTTGTTTTTGATAAGTCTACTCAGATACGGCTAACTTGGCATATTTGCTATCTATTGATCAGCCACCTTTGTTGATTTACCTCGCTAAGTTTCCCTCTGCCGGAAGCAGATCAATGCTTACTTGCACCATTGGGTAAAGTTAAGCAGTTCCAATAACTGTCTGTCATGGACTAAAAATGTCACTTAGCCTAAACGTATGAACCATAATACAATGAGTCTGGTCTACGGGTTAGCATTAAAAATTTCATGAATAAACTGGTTACATTATTTGTATAGACTTCATGTATGAAATATGACCTAATCTAAAGCTAAAGAGGAGAGAAGTAAAACAAAACCAGCAGCAGCACCCATTTCGCTAGGGCAAGAGACTTATTAACGCAACCAGTATTTTAGTTTCTGCTTGCATTCTTACATCAAAAACAGGCACACGTAGTCTAAATCACCAAGCAGTTTTGGGCGAGCAAAACCTAATTTCCACCTGCATCGGCTCCGGTCCGTGATTGCAGTAACTAAGGTTGAATTCAATGTGAATCGCGATTCATATTGAGAATGCGCCTCGCAATTAAGTCACACAACGTATAATCAAAAATTGGCCCTCCAATAAAAGCGTTAGTTTGTTTACTTTCACAGTGTGATGACGAAGTGAAACACTATCAATCAGCTACGATCGCTTATTTTCGACAAGCAAAAAGAGCTGGACCGAGAAACAAAACTACTATGTTTTTCCAGAGCAAACTTCTTCAAGGTTTTCAGCTGAATTAGCAAATAATAATCAAGAAGGTAGACTACAGGCAAACGGAACCAAGTTACCATTTACCTAGTAGTAATTCATTAGCCTGGCTTTATTCATTTACAAAAACTTCGTGCAACTATTGTCAGTAAATGTAATTAACAATAGCCACACTTATTCTATCCGCACTCTACTAAACAACATATGATTTTAAGGGAAAAGCATTCCTTTTTAGCAGTCTTGTGTAACCCGAAATTTGTGTACTTTACCCAACAACAACAACAACAACAAGCAATCCATTAGGATGTCTGCACTAACAACATTATTTCACTATGTTTTCAAATCGGTGGTACTAAGAATGTAAGAATCTTGTGCCGTGGACTTCTCTTTCTAAATATCAATTCCCCCGACTTCCAGTTAATCGTTTAGTTTCCAGTTTCCGGATGCATTATATTTTGTCACTGAGTCTTAAGTACGTAGCTGCAAGCTTACCAGTAGCTGACGCAATCACCGTACAACAAACAACCGTTAAGCGTCTTACACATATAATTGCGCGACTAAGTAATTTAAGTAATAAATAAAGCTGATGTTTACCTGAATTTTTTAAAACAAATTGCATTCCAACATGCTTATAGACCTGTGTTCGTCTAACTGAAGGCTGTTCTGATGAACAAAGCGATTACAACTTGACTACGAACTGCTGACTGATATTAATACCCACAACAGCATAAATGCGCCAGACATGGGCGCTTTGCATGTAAGAGCAGTCCGTTTGTTATTACTATCATTATAACCAATAGACGTAATTACCAACGTCAGCAGTCCGTCAAAACGTTCCCAAGTTTTTATGGTTTTTCGTGCATGTGTATACTTTGTCTTCACAGTAATGAACGTTTGGAAATAACGGATTTAAAACAGCCATCAGAAATGATCTACAATTTGTTTTGCATCAGCCCTTAGTAAAAACATCTAGAATATAAAAACAATCCTCATCTTAATCGCAATTCATTTATGCCGAAATCATTTTAGTAGGATTGTGCAAGCGCTCACTCGAGGCCGCAATGGGATAAGATTGTTGACCTTGCAAAAATTGCTACTTATTTTAAAACATTCTTAGGTAGCACTAACCCAGTATGCAGGTCATTTCCACATGTTGCCTGGGTGTAGTTACTACCACATCCAATATGCAAATGTCTTGAGCTTGTTCTGCATGATTTGCAACCTTGACCGAGCAAGTGAGTTTTATTCACCATCAAATCTTTGCTTAACTCATCTGTTTCTCTTTTGAACAAGACCGAGGTTTGTTGAGTAGCCGAGTTTGTCTTTCCGTTGAATGTGCGCAGACAATATCGCCCCAACGGTTCAACCAATCTGGAAAACTAAAAAGTAAATGTTTGCAAAAGAGGGTAAACGAAATACCCGCAATAAGGAACGTTCAAGGCGAATGTCAATAAAAAATAAAAACCATGAAACCTCTGATACGAACCATAGACTCAGCATGTATTGGCTGTTGCGACCCATTGCTGTCAAGGTCAAACTTTGTTTTATGTGAAACTACCTGAGTCGTCTTCCAGGTGCCGCTTTGTGCGTAACCAAGAGTGCCGCTATATGATCAATACTATAGGCAGTATCTCACTCAGTTTTTGTGAATATATTTGCTTTGATGCAGCGGAATTACTTATCAGAGAAACAGTTATTCTACTGGTGATTGTAAGTTAAAAAGTTTACGTGAAAGTAACTGGTTAAAAGATTATCAGTTAACTTGACTACTTGCCGGAAGATGCTGAATATGTAAATCTCACCGAATGTTTGCTCGGTAGCAATGGCAAGAGCTGCATGGCACACGCAAGCTTAAAAGTTACCATCAACTACGGTCAACACTGCCAAGCGGCTTTGAAGTATAAAATAGTCCACCTTTTCACTGGAAAATCTTGTAGCTAGCGACTGCTTGCGCGGAGACATGTACAACTCTTATCCTTATTTCATAAGATCCGGTTATTCTGTGTACAAGAGCAAACATCTGTCTCCAGCTAATAATTGTTCACATATTCTTATAGCAGTCAAATTATCATACATTTTCTCTATGATGTATAATCATTCAGACCGCCACTAGTAGATGTAGGCATATATCAATCGAATGTTTTATCATACATGGATTCTCTCGCTATAGATATATATATATATATTATAGTGACACCAAAACAAAACTGTGATAGTAACTGCTACCCTGTGTTCGTTGTAGTGTAGATGTTAAGGAAAATGTATGAGCTGATTTTTGTTCTGATAGACTGAATTGACCCACTCAGGAAACCTAAAACATGTGTAAGTTAAAGCCAGCTCATGTTTGCTACCCAAACGCAAAGTGAGTAGGTCTCAGCCAAAAACAAATTGCTATGCTATTTTTTCCTTAAAGGATAAAAAATATTTAACCACGTTATACAAAAGATACCGCGCTTAATAAAACATAGTATATAGATATGCAGAGACAAGTGTGTTACAGTTGTTATATCCTAATTGAGCGAAGGTACAGACACAGATTCAACGGTTGGCAGAAATGATAGAAAGCTGGATCCGTATTTGGGTATTGATATGAAAGGGCTGCAAGGATTGCATATGTAAAGTTTATGCCACTATTTATTTACACTTTTCATGCAAATTAAACTTGCAGTAGAACGATTTCGATATTTCAACGGATTCTACCGTGGTGCACACCATGACCAAGCAAATGTACAACAAACTATATTACCGGTTTTATCAATGGTGAATCAAACAATTTATTTGCTCTTGATGTCCAGTACAATAATTCCTCTAGCAGTATAGATAAATTGGTCAGACAGCTAACCCAAAACTGAGCTGAAAATACGAAGTTCTGACTGCACTTAGTTTAGGTAGAGAACTGTGAGAATGATGTGCCTCTTACCCAGTTTCTCTCGGTTCTCTTCCTGCAGGTTAGTTTACATTATATATTGCTACTAAGTACCCAATAAAATACTGTTTTAATATCACATAAAAATATAGGTACGTAAAGATTTGAGATTGTTTAAGCAGAACGATCATGCTTCCTTTAATACGTGACACTAAGTTAAGGATATTAGAAATGTACTCGGATGTTAACGAATGTTTTGCTGTGTTGTCTCACGATGAAATATGTTTTCTGAATCCCTACAGAAACGTTTGGTCAGGTCTTGTTCCGCTATTGCAAATCAATCTATATGACACGAGTTTTCCCGGCAAAAAGGAACAATCAATAATAACTTATGAGGGGCAAAATAACGATTGCTTTAGAAGCCACATGCGATCATCATAGTGTGGAGTGTGGAACTATGGTAAAAAATGACATGGAAAAAGCAGATATTTGGGTTTGAATTGACTCAACATGCCATTTGCTCGAACACTGATATCGGCTTCCTCACTGCTCTACTATGGAAAGGGCTGGTGGGCATGTAATTTGGTGTGCGTTTATTTTCCTCTGATTGAAACAGATTATATCGCGCAATGTAAATGGGATATTGTGTCTTTAAGTTGTTTTTTGAAAAGTCTTAGCTTCGGGTAAAATTAACGTCAGCTAGAAGAGCGTCCCATGTTCCAGTTTGTCGAAGGAAAAAATGATTCGACAATCAAATCAAATGTAGTGCGTAGCCAGTTTGAGCTGGTAGCCTTTCAGGCTATTATTGTGACTGAGTTGCAGCAGGTCGTAGCAGGCGTGATTTGCGTTTGTTAGTATTAGGTAGAACATGGTGAGATCTCCACGCTGACCTCGATCTTCATGGCTCTACAACCCTAAGGCTTGCAACCTGTGTTGGTAGAGGATGTGAAACAGTGCTCTATCGCATTTTGTTGTTTATAAGTCATGGAGATAAAGAGCATTAACACCTTGTTTGCGACAGTGGCGTCTGTCATGGATCGCGTATTCCACATGGGTCCACAGATAAGCGTTCCTCAGTTGCGAAAATGTAGTTGGCTCAAACTTTCCGAAAGCCCACTCTAAGGGGGCCAATTTGATGACTAGATTTCCTCGATGCCTTTTCAGCCAGTACCGTGTCACCAAGTACAACCTGTATGATTAATCCCGGATCGTTTTCCTGCGTAGCGTGTTGCAACTACAGTTCTGCAATTGGATAGTCATGAGTACGTTGATATCGTATTCCAAATGTTAGCATTTCGTCACTTTAACTGCAGTCGATTTTCGGATGACTACGTATAGACCGTGTCAACATCTCTCTACACTGCATTATAATCGTCCCCTATCCTGATGTCATGCCAGATTTTGACATCGTTGCTAATAGTTGGAAGTCCGACTGCAGCTCACTAGCAAGATCGTTTCCGCATACTTTGAAAAATTTGTTTCCAGTACCGACGCTTGAAGCCCGTCACACTGGACGTTTATTTCGTAGGAAATGAACCTACAGACTCTCATATTTGACTAGTGCTGATTGAAAATTCACTTACCTAACCAAACAAATGTCACCAATTCCATAGATCCGAAGCTCGGGAAGGGGCAAGCAGTGGTTCAGGCTGTCGAGCATTTGCTATATGTCAAAATATACGACGTCCTTTACCCTGAAATCTACTGATTCCGTTCAGCTTGCTATGGCTAGCAGCAGTTTTACAGTTCATGATATCTTTTACTGCGGCGTAATCTCTGCTGCTGTGACACTGTGCTTTAGTTGCTCTCAAGGTATCAGATGAGCGCATCTTCGATAATACCTTCCATTTCTTTGGACAACACTGGATGGCGAGCAATCGGCCAGTAGTTAAAGGGCCCCACAAAACTGCAACACTGTAAATATAATTGAGCAAGAAGTCTTTTTACATGGTTGGAATCTGTATTTTATTGATGGAAGCTGATTGGACCCGGCTAACCATGAGAGGATATTTCTGACTGCAGTTGTTTATGCCACCGACTTATGTCCTCCACACCAGGAGAGCTGTGCACGCGCAAGAACAATAGTCTTCCATCATATCTGCTACCGTAAACTATAAGTGGGAGTTGAGTCAAATGCGGGTGAAATGCTTCAATCTCTGAAACGATGATCAAGGGTTTCCAAGGTGCACTGACTACCTTTTGTGTAGTTAGCTTCAGACTAGCTACTGCAAGTAGAACTAGGATTCCGAACTTCAATCTCCGAAGCCTGAAGATGTGCTTGCACAGCAGCTTAGGATTAACACTAGTGTTACGTCTCAAATTCCTACCCGTGCTGGAGTTTGTCTTCACGGACCAATTTGACACAATGATTTGGTTGAGTTACTTAGGCCTACCTGGCCTACGCACCCTGACAGGCCGTGTAAACGCGCCAGGCGGAGTCCATTATAGCCATTCGTTTTTGTTTCTTACTCCTTATAAAGGAATTCGTTTGCTTCTGGCGAAGAATTTAGTTTCCAAGGCATTTGCCACCAGCGTGGCGAACTGGGTGAACAATTCCTTTGAAGCGGCATCCGGTGGCTGCTCAGTTAGAAAGCACCAGTTGATTTCTTGAACGAGGTTGGACGGGATGTCATAATGGGTGACCGTGTGGGTTTCCTCGTCGTTTTCACTGGTATATTTCGCATAGCAGATTTAACTGGAGTGAACCGTCGCAAGATCGCTGCGACCAAGCGGTGCACTTTTGGTTACGGTATCGACAGTTAGCTCCTCAGCGCTGAGCAAAAAGTCTAAAACAGATGGTTATTCACCCGTTCTGAATCGCGTGGCAGTAGTGACACTGTTGCGTGCCGGTACATCAAAGATTACTACTTGAAATTCAGCTTTGTATTGTTTGCTGGGTAAATCAGGGGCTTTGATTGCGTGTAGGGTGAAGACCCCACCGAAAGGAAGTGACCGTATGGCCATGCCCGATTTCACCTTATAACTGCTCAAGTAGTGATCCATTTCCAGGACAATAAATTATCGCAAGTAGAAGCATATCACTAGGTTTCAGGTGCAGGCGGCACCCGAGAGAATCGACGTTCGAATGCGTGTTTTGATTGGAGACAACCGTATGCCTGGAAACGTCACTTGACTGTAGCTCAAATTACGTCTAAACCTAACCCGTTATTTCAAATGATGTTTGACAATTGGCCGTCAACTGACTTGAAACACTATCAGTGTACTAAACTTATGAGGGATAGCATAGGACACCGCTGATGAAGAGCGTTGTTGTGCATAGCATGTATATCTCGGAATGCGAGACCAACCGCCGTTTGGACGCAAGATGCCCATTTTAAAAACTTTTCTTAAAAACCTGGCATTCATATATAAAATTATAAAATATATCTGGATTCGTATTCAGAGCTTTCCCAGTAAACGAGTTTAAGCCTCGATTATTAAAGCAAATGTCTTAAATATTCTTGAGTATTGCCCGATTGCATGCACCGCTATGTGTAAGTTGGGCAATGTGGC